ATCAGTGGACACCTGAGCTGCTTTCATCTTTAGCTATTGTTAGCAACACTTCAATAAGCATGAGCCACCAACAGTCGGGTTACCACGCCGTATGGTAACTATATATTCAAACTTTTGAGGACCTACCATACTGTTTTGCCTGATGGTCTCATCACGTGTGTTAGTCAGTTCTGTGTTGCCGTGACAAACCACCTGTGAGAAACAAGACTGCAGGAGGAAAGGCTGATTTTGGCTCACGGTTTTAGAGGTGTCTGTCCACGGTCAGCCCAACCCAGTGCTTTCAGAACTGTGGTGATGGCGAGGCAGATCACGTGACAAAGGAAACTGTTTAGCTCATGGAGGCCAGGACGAGGAGAGAGAGGTAGGAGGAGTTGGTCCCAATAGTCCCCTCAAGGGCACTCCACACAATGACCTCCCTCTCTAACTAGATCTCATATCCTAAGACTGAGCAACCTTTACTTTCACCTTGGGAAACTTTCTGACCAAAACAGCAACACCATTTTACACTTTCTCTGATGGAGCACAAGGGCTCCAAGAGGGTCCCCCCTCTTTCTGCTGTTGTCTTGGTGGCAGCTAAGACAGTGGGGATGAGGTCGTATTTCCTTCTGGTTTCGACTTGCATTCCCTGATGATTAGAGATAATGAGCGCTGATCAAAAGGAAAATATCCGTCTTCTACAAGAGCAGCGTGCTGGACAGTGCCAACATGGTAACTGTGGGCAAGATGAAAGGGGCAGAGGTCCCCTGAGATCATATCGCAGTGTTCATGTGTGCAGTGGTTCCTTCCTAGCAAAATTACCAGATGTGTATAAGTGAGAACAACCATGGCTTTTGCTTGAGAGCCTATGGGACTCTGACCATTGGGGTAACTCTGGAATGCCCTCCTGACACTCAGTTTTAGTCATGGAGGAACAGAGAGCTGGTAAAAGCACAGAGATCCAGATCAAAGTCACTCAGAACACTCTGGGGTTTAGAGATGAGAAAGAAGGGATTTGGCTTAAAGTCTCCAAATCCAGGGGAATTTGAACAGAGCCACGAACACGGAGGCAGAGAGGCGGGAGGGCAGGAGTCATCAAGGCCTCCAGAGACAGTCTTCTAAGGGGAATAGAAAGGCTGTAACACACAGGAGAGATGAATATGAGAGAGGGGAGTCAGGGCTCAGACCCAAGAGGACCAACGACAGAAAAACAAGGATAGTGTTGGCAGTGACACCTGAGCCGAGAAAGAGGACGAGACGGCTAAAACGATTCCATCTTCTGTCTTAGCAAAGGAGCAGCAGTGCTTGGTGTGGCTTGTCCCTCACAGATTCGTGGGCTTGAAGTTTGGTCCTCACGGTGGGATTGAGATACAAGGACCTTTAGAGAAGTAGAAATAATAGGGGACAGTTGGGTCCCCAGAGCAGCACACCCACTAAGGGCTTAAATGCTGGTCTTGCCCAGGGCTTGCTGGAAAGGACAAAGGTCCTGAAGGGCTGGTATAGAAGAGTGGATGTGGACCATTGTTCTCTGTGACAAGTTAATTCTTATGGTCGACTTATGATACTTAAATCACCATGGAAATACATCTCTGGCTGTGTCTCTGAAAGGTTTAACTGAAGACCTAACCCGAATGCAAGTGACACGTGTGTCCTGGACTGGATAGAAAGGAAAAGTGAGAGTTGGGCACCAGCTCGCATCTCTCTTTACTTCCTGATCGCAGATGCGACATGACCACCAGCCTGGTGCTCTGGCCAGCATGCTTTCCCTGACACGATGAACTGTCCCTTCCAACTGTGAGACAGAAATTCAACGCTCCTTCCTTAAGCTGCTTTTGCCAGATGTTTTGTCACAGCTGCAAGGGAAATATGCCTCTTCTGAGTACAGTTGGTTTCCAGTTCCTCTCCTGGTTCTCCACCAGGCTGTCAGTCAGGGGTTCTCACTGGGATATTGTCTGGACCGCCCAAATATCAGAAACCTGAACCAAACAAAAACTCTTTCCTTCGTATGGCACGGAGCCTCAGGCTTTTCTTACGTCCTCATGAAAATGGATTAGTACCCATCTCTGCTTGGAAGAGAGGTCAGTGGAATCCTTTCTTCTTCCAGCATCGACTTGTGTTGGTTAGAATGCTGGGAACGGAAGATCTCCTCCCTAACCACAGTTCAAGATACCTGGAAGAAGGAAGGGAGGGCCCTCTACTCAGAGGGGTCTGTAACTGTGACAGAGGAAGCCAAGCTGGAGTGGACTGGTGACAAACTCTGGTGGGATGGCCCAGAGCCGTCTGCTCGGCTTGGCTTTATACCTGCATATTGGGGAAGACCTTCATGACAGCTGTGCTCAAATTCATGCTACAGTCTGGGCTGAGATCTCTTTTATATGTAAATGATCCCCCATTATTTGCATAAGGCCACAGTGTTAGACTTCAGCTCATTACACAAAGGACTTGGGTTATGGAAAGCCAGGTCTCTTGTGATGTCCCAATCCATCCTTGTCCTAGTAAAGAGATGCTTGACTTCTGTTGTCCATCCCAGACATAAGGAACCAATGATCCTGGCTACTCACGTTAGGTGGAGGCAGCTCAGGTTTTTAGAGCTGGTGTTCTCCCACTGAGTGTAAACCAGACTCTCGGCCACTCTCTCACCAGGCAGGAGGCAGGCCAGCAGCCCTCTCTGTGAACCTGACAGGGGGTTCAGCAGGGGTAGCAGGCCTCTCGCAACTCACTGTGCAGAGAAGCCATTGCCACCTAGGCGAAGGACGACGCAGACTGGAATTTTAGGTCCAAGTCGGCTCCCTGGTGAGGTAGTGCTGGCAGGTATGGGGACTTGCATATTCTGAAGCACCAAGTAGGTGATAAGGATGTTCACCTACAGAAGATAGGTGGCCCTTGGCACAAACCCTCCCTAGTGACGGCGGGATTGAGTTGTAGTGAAGCAAGGCCATTGAGGTACCTTTTAGGCTCAGTGGATCAGGCTCAGTGGGGGAGAACACACTACACCATGTAAGTGCTTGGTCGGTCTAGCTAAGCTAAACAGCCCCAGGATTTTCAGTGGTTTCCCTTGAGAGGTGTTCTTTATTTAGGTCCCCTCTCAGGAGACACTCACAGTGGCTCCAGCTCACAGAAGAGGGCCATCCTTCTAAACAGGAAATGTAGGTAACATCCAAATCTCCACAAGCTACACCTGTTCATATTTACACCCCTTTCCTCCTTAGATATAGTGGCAGAAGGAGGGATATTTTTGGGCAACCAAGTGGGTGAACTATCAGTTCAAAAGCTGAAGGATGTATCAACAAGTCCATCCCACGAGGCTACAATTTCAGCTCTTGCTCTGATTAGAAATAATAATGAATAATTAGCTAAGTTAATGTACTTTGGTATGGTATGACAAATCTCTCAGTATTTGATCAATGTCATCTTTGCTAAACAAATGGTAGGGGAGGCCTTCAGTCTTAATGGGCCAATGCGACACCTTGGGCGTCTTGACTTGGCGGCTCAGATGCCATCTGCCCAAGGAAGCCCCCTTTCCTTCCGCGGTGACTTAGGTGCTCCTCAGAGCTACCTCTAAATTAGTGAACATACGGGATGGTAATTGTCTTCCTTGCCTGCTATGCTGGAACTCCAAGTGTGCAGAGACCAGATCTTATCATGGTAATTTCAGTGTCCAACTGAAGTGTCTGTCATAGGGTAAAGCTTTGTAGAAAGGAAGGAGGGAGAGAAGAAGAAAGGAAGGAAGAGAGGCAGGAGGAAAGGGAGGGATAGAGGGAGGAAAAGAGAAGGAAGAAAAGAGACAAATAGCAACCACCACCACCACAATGTAGAGACGAGTAAGTGAGCTTTGTCATTCTTGACAGGGAGGGACTGAAGGAGATCACAAATCAGTGAGTTGGTCTCCCTGGGTGGTAGCTACCTTTGCTCTCTGGGCTATCCTCTGAAGTTAGGACCACTGAAGCTTTAATGTGAATGAGGATTTGTTTGTGGGGGCCCGGAGCCATGACATCCCTGCTCCCCAGTGTAAGTAGATGCCACCCTTTGCCTGAGCCCTATTCCTCTACTACAACCCAGGAGAGGTGACCTTGACCTCCAAACACCCTCCCGACGAGCTTTCGGCTTCTGTTGATAGCCCTGCCAATATTGTCTCAAGACTGCTTTCCCCAAACAAACAGCCCCAGGTAGTTTTCCTTGTGGGGTCACAGTTTCTCTAATTATGGTACCATTGAGTCTTGGAGCATAATTTTGGTTAGGTACTTCTTTTCTAAGGGCCTTGAGACTTTCAAGATGAGATTTTTTTTTCATATTCTAGTCAGATGAGGAGGTAGTGGAGAGGACCCTGGAGGTGATTTGGTAGCATCACTCAAACAGAACCTCCATCTTGTCTCTTGTCAGTGACTGGGGGGAGCCACGTTTGTTGGGACAAGTGACTTGAACACCTGACGAGTCATCACCTGGCTGACTAGTGTAGTCAAATCAAATGGCATGAGTGGGGCAGAGGTCTGTGGGGGTTTTGCCATCGTGAGATCCAGGTGTGGTTTCTCATGCTAGGAAAATAATTAGATACAAATTCCTGAAATCAAATTCTGACTGAGAATATCGCCCAAACCCTGTTTTTTGATGTGGTGAGCTGTGCCCACACTGCCCATCCCCCGTGTGGCAATGGCACCCCTGTGCACAGAAGCAGCAAACCTCCACTGAGAAGGTACAGTCTCTGTCACAGGAGGAAGTTCTTGGCAGCTCTGGGGGGAGAGGCTGCAGGATTTATGACCCTTCACCTCCTAGCTGAGAACCCACACAGAAGAAAGACAAGAGGCCCAGGGACAGGACCACACCGGCAAACCTGTTTCTCATTTTCAATAGTATCATTTGCTTTATCAGAAGATCCTTCCGAGACCAAGTTCCCGCCATGAGGAAAACCCCTGTGCAAGTGATCGCTTCTGCAAGATTGCAGTGAGTCTGTCCTTAGCCAGTGCCACCAGAGGGGACCTAAGACTGCTGCTCTGTGTTACGATGACCCCAGGTTGGGTGTGGTGGAGTCCACCTGGTGGAGTGCTTCCCACCCAATGTGGGGCTCAGCATTTCTGGGAGCCTTGCTGAGGAAGCCCACCCCTGAGAAGGAGAATGTGGAGTGCCCCGAACCCAGAAACTCTCAGGATGGCTGATATCCCTTGCTATATCCACCCCACTACGGGATCAGAGAAGGGTAGGGGGATGGCTAGGGGAAGAGGGGAATGAATAGCGCCCATAGGGAGCCCACAGGGATTGCCACTTCTTTTTGGACTATAGGGATCTCAAATGGCTAAGTATGAGTTGAAGTTTGTGTGTGTGTGTGTGTGTGTAGACAGAGATAGGTAGGTAGGTAGGTAGGAAGGTAGGTAAATAGAGGCCTTGTTGGAGAGATCCTGTGACTGTAAGCTTTTCTGGTTTTGGGGGAGCTGGGAGGCAATCTGCTGTAATTCTCAAGAAACACCCTCGGTGGCAAAGTCCTCTAGGTCATCAGTGGAGATGATGCTAAGGTTTGGAGCTTCTGCACCCTCTTCCTCTGGACCATGGGGAGGATCACGGGGCCTCTGAGCAGAGGCATGTTGGGTGAACTCACTCAGATGTTCAGTGGGAGGAGGCTGCAGCCTCGCGCCCTGAGAGCTCTGGGGTCTGTGGCCAGAACCCTGTCTGAGAAAGGTGGGAGCCGCTAGCTGAGAGGAGCAGCGCAGAGGCATCAAGGAGGTTACAGGCACTGGCTGGAAGCCTGGGTACAGGAGGTAAGGAGCAGCCAGGGCATCCTGCAGAGGTGGCTCGGAGGAGGCTTCCTCAGAGGATGGGACGGAGACCTTGACATACTTGCCAGTCTCGGGGTCATAGAAAGTCTTAATTTTCACTTGGAGAGGCACATCGAAGACAAAGTATTGTCCCGACTGAGGATCCTGGAGCACCTTCTGGGTGGCGGGGTAAGGGGGCAGGGGCATGAGGGGCTGGGGCCCCCAAGGCCGCCTTCCCGTGGGCTCCCAGCCGCAGGACACCGAGTGGCGGTGCGTGGGTGGGGGCAGGGAGCGGACTGCAGGGAATCTGGGTTGAGGACCTTTTTCTGGAGACAATGGCCTTCTCTCTGTCCCCTGCGCATCCTCTGTGAAGGACTTGCCCTCCCAGGCCTCGATGTGTTTCTCTGGCGCTTGATCGTTCTTCCTCCTCTTGCTTGCCAGCTTCTTCGCCCGCCTTAGGGCCTTCTCCGTCTTGGGCGGGACTGCAGGAGGCTTGCCCGCTGCCCTCTCCAGCAGAGCAGGGGGCTCGGGTTTCTCAGCAGCGTCTGCCATCAAGGCACTTCTCGGAGAGAGGGTCCTGAGATCTGCCAACCGCTCGAGTTGGGGATCAGAGCCTTCAGCATCCCATGTGAGGCCGTGTGTCATGTCCTCCCTCCGGGTAAGCCTAGCCGGGCCTGGTGTGGTCCAGGGGCTGGGGCCCTGAAACTCTTGGTGCAGCCACTGTTCCCCAGCAGCCTGGGGAGTTTCTTCCCAAACATTGCTGGCCACAGGAGAACACGTGCTGCTCTCGCCTAGAGAGCTGGGGTTGGGAGAAGTCTCTACCTCACTGGGGACCAGCCTCCTTCCTGAAGGTCCTGCTCTGGGTGCAGACAGAAAGTGGCTTTGGAAACCTTGTTCTTCCCAGCAGGTGTGGAGTGGCAGGGACGGGGGCGGGTCTTCTAAGCTATCTGTGGGTAAAGCAATGGTGGGGATATGCTGTGGGGCAGTTAGCTTCCCTGAGTCTGCAGGTCTGCCCTTACCACGCGCTGGCGCTTCTCTTGTTGTATCTGGGGGTGGCGGCTTCATCTTGCTCTCTTCTTCCACCAGTGGTAGAAAAGAGAAACTTCCCTTCCTGGCGTGCTGAGAAGCTTCAGCCTGGGCTGCAGGGTGCGCTGGATCCTCTTCCAGGCTCTCACACACTGCACACGGTGGGCCCTGCATGTTACTGGACTGGGCGGTGTTACACATTTCCTGACTTTCTGAGGCACAGAGGCCGCCAGCATCCTCGCCCCACCGTTGCCTTGGTAATTCATTCTCTTTGTGTCCACCACTAAGTGAGTCCTCTGAGGACACTGTCCTCAGGAGAGGCAGGATGATAGGTTTTATCACCGGGGTGGCCCTGAGTGTGTTGTCTTTAATTGGGAACAGTCTGTGCTTGTTGGTAGAAGCCGGCAAGGGAGTTGAGTCCTTGGCATGTGGCAGAGCCATCTCCTTATCAGCCCCCGCCCAAGAACCTCTGAAACTGACTTCCTCCACTGATTCCTTCCCGGGTGTCCCTCTCGACCAACCTTGCGCTTTTCTCTGCGCTTCTTCCTGTCTGTGCGCTTCCGCGCCTCTCTGTCCATTACTTACGGCACATTGCTGTGGCTCATTTTTCTCCACCACGGTCTCCTTCTCGTCCTTTTCCTTGTCACCTGCACTCCCATGATTCTTTCTGTCGTCCCAGGGGCCTTCCGTGAAGCACATCTTCTGCTGGTCATCAAAAGAAGCAAAGGATTGATCCGAAGAGCTGGTGCTGAATTTAACCTTAGTTTGGAGGCCCGGAGTAAAATCAGATTGGCAGTCGCTGTAAAAAACATCCTCCTCCTCAGGAGAAAGGGGCCCTGGGGAGTACTTCCGGTTCAAGGGTAGGTTCCGGAGCCCCGTTTCTTGCTCAGGCTCTGTCTCTTGAGAGATGGACCTCGAGAGCCCGTTCTCCAGCTGCTGGGGCTTAATTTTCTCTGTAGCCTGCCCTGCTTCAGACTCACTGCTGTAGAGTTTCAAGGAGAGGTGTTTCCGGGGAAGGTGTCCCCTGGAGTCTGGGTGCCAGCTTTGCTCAGAGGGACCCTGCTCTGATGTCCCATCAGCATCTCCCTTCTCACTACCGTTCCCCTCTGTCACCTCCCCATTGGCGCAGAAATGGGTTCTGGAGCCAGTTGAAGGTGAGCCAACGCCCAGGTGGCTGTCAGCAAAGGACTCAGAGGAGTTAACAGCAGGATCCTTCTGGGTACTGCTGTGCAAAATGCTAGCTGGCATCTCCTCCAAAAGCTCTGTGGGAGGGTTCTCTTCCTGCCCATTGGGAAGGATGACCCCATTGCTCAAAGGCTCTTGTTCACTATCAAGCTTACCTCTGGTTTTCTCATCAAAGCTTTTTAAGAGAGGCAAGGGACTGTATGTACTCTTGACACGCTTCCTAACATCCTTGAGGTTGAAGAGCAGGCTGGGTGCTTTGGATTTGTAGCTATCCCGAGACTGAGACTCACTGGGCTCCTTCTCCTGGTACCCATTTAGCTGTTCTGGAGAGGATGGGTTGATCTCTGCTGGCTGGGTGTCTGAGGATTCCAGGACATGCTTGGTGGGTATAATTGGGGTGAGGAGCTGACTGATGTTAAAAGGGGGGCTGTAATGGTCATTGGGATCCTCTGGCATATCCGGAACACCATTTTCGGGAAGTTGACCCTGAGGGTTGAGCTTTGAATACAGAGGTGGTAGGCTTTTCCTATTGGACTGTTTCTTGTCTTCCAAAGCATCATGTGGACCATCTGTTCCTCCTTTGCCAATCTTTGGCTTCCTCCATGGGGGCTGGCTCCGCTTCATCTGAGGGTCAATCTGTGAAGCCTTTCCCTCTACAGGGAATGCCTGGGATCCTGGATCCCTGGCCCCCCAGGCTCCAGATGTGGACTGAGGCCCTGATGCTGATCCAGTCTCTCCCTGAGTGCAGTTAGCCTGGGCTTGGCAAGGGGAGGCTTTGGACTCAGGAGGGTGGGGCTCCTTTAACAAGGGCGTGTCCTCATAATGTTTGGGAGCTTTGCTTTCTGGGATTGTTTCTGCAGTATCCTTTCTCTCTGGGAGCTTTGGTTGGTGGCTATTCCATGACTCAAAAGCACTATTTTCACTGTGCAGAAAAGTCCTTCTGGGAACCCATTCCTTGCCTCTTCCTGGCTCAGCTTTGGCTGGCTTGAGAGGTGGAGAGGGGAACTTTGGCTCAAATGAGTCAGCCACATGGTCAGGTGTCCTGAGGAGGCTGTCTGAGCTGTGGCAGGCTGCTTCTGGGTTCTTGGGAGATTCTTGCTCTCCAGGGATCCTGCTAGGCTGGTGGCTGCTCTGATGGGTGCTGGAGACTTCAGCAGGTACCCTCCTCACAGTCAAAAAGGCAGAATCGAAGCAGAAGTTGACACCACCTTCTGGGGGAGGTGCAAACTTGGGGGGATTTTTGAGAGCTGGAGGTTTGCTGGGAGGAGGTCGGCTGTCACAAGGTTGATTCTCTGTCCTGTCAAAAGACCTAATTAATGATGAGACCTTGGAGATGGGCTTGCTGCTGCTTCTCAGGCCTGAAATGGGCACCTCCAGTCTCCTCTGGGCTGGTGTGGTCGGGGGACTGTTTTTGGGGTACTTTTCCTCCCCTTGAACATATTTTGGTTGCTGTTGGAAGGTGGCTGCCCAGCCAGAATGCTCTGTGCCTTGCGAAGGAAGCTGGCTCCAAATCCCACTTTTTCTGTTGCTGTGGCTCACTGTTTCTTGGTGAAAAGTCCCAAACCCCTGGTTGGTGACATCTGGGGACAGAGCCAGGTCAGAGTCATGGAAGGAAGTGTCCTCTGAGATGCACAAACTCCGGAATGCCCGGTCTGTGAGGTTGCTCACCTCCCTGTCTGCATCGTCCAGCACGCTGCCAATACTGGAGGTGTCACTGAACCCATCTGTGCACTTCCTGTTTCCCTGCATAGTCTGTTGGCTTGAGGAGTACGGTCTCTGCCAGCTGTTCGGTGTCTTTTGGTGAGACTCTGGATGGAGTTAAGAGAAACCTGCCCTTCACAAGGTAGAGCTTTGAGTTGACCAGGTGCAGGAGCAAAGTGAGGATTTTTTTTTCTCTGTAAAAAAAGCGCAGGGTATGGTTAGGCTACCTGGTTTAATCCATCCTTACACACGCTACATGCCAGTCTTAGGTGGATAAAGGTCTCTGTGGTCGATTTCGTGTGTCAGCTTGGCTAACCAACTCTACTATTACTGATGACTAGTCTGGAGGTTGCCATGGCAGTATTTCTTCGATGTGAGCAGCTTTAAAACCAGTAGACTTTGGGCAAAGCAGATTGCCTTGTGTAATGTCAAGTGAATGCTACCCAATCAGTTCGAGGTCTTAAGAGAAAGATGATTGAGGTGACAGACAGCAGATGCTAAATTGGCTGAGCTGACTACATTAAACTAAAAGGCTTCTGTCAACAAAATAAAAAGGCAACTGCATATCTCAGAGGATTAACATCTAAAATACATAAGAAATGTCTATAACTGAATAACAAAGCATCAAACCCTAAAAAATAAAACCAAAGAACTCAATTTAAAAATTGGGAAAGAAAACCAGGCATGGTGGCGCACACCTCTAATCCCAGGATTTGGGAGGCAGAGGCAGGCAGAGCTCTGTGAGTTTAAGGCCAACCTGATGGAGGAAGGTCATTGGTTAAAAAATAAAGAAACTGCTTGGCCCTCATAGGTTAGAACATAGGTGGGTGGAGTAAACAGAACAGAATGCTGGGAGGAAGAGGAAGTGATCTCAGACTCTCTGGGGCAGATGCGATGAAGCTCTGACTCAGGATGGACGTAGGCTAGAATCTTCCTGATAAGCGCACCTTGGTGCTACACACATTATTAGAAATGGGCTAGTTCAGGTGCGAGAGTTAGCTGAAAAGAGGCTAGATATAATGGGCCAGGCAGTATTTAAAAGTTTGTGTGTTGTTATTTCGGGCCATTAGTTAGCTGGCGGCCAGGAGCTGAGCGGCAGGAATGCAGTCCGCAGCTCCCTCAACACCAACCTGGTCTACATAGTGAGTTCTAGGACATCCTGGGCTATGTAGAGAGACTCTGTCTTATAAAAATATAGAATAAATAGATAAAAAGAAAGTAATTACATAGGTGTTTCTCCAAAAAAGACATTCATGGTGACCAGGTATTGGAACTAACTGTCTGGGAGCAACAAATTAGAAGCATAGTAAGAAACTGTGTTTGTTAGGTTAACTAGTACAGAGTCAACCAACAGGAACAAAAGGGGGCACGTGGGGAGATGGGTCAGCAGATGAACATATACGTTGACAAGGCCGAGGACCTGAGCTTGGTTTCCAGGTCCCACATGGTGAAAGGACAGAACCAACTCTCACTTGATAGCCTCTGACCTCCATCCTCAAACCATGGCCTGAGCGTACCTATACACACAGTGCATATAATAGATGAAATGTAAAAAAATGGGATGGGGGAAAGAAGGCCCGTGCATGCTGGTGTTGAAAGTGTAAATTAGGGGCTGGAGAGAGGGCTCAGTGGTTAAGAGTATAGGTTGTACTGACAGGGTAGACAACTGCCTGTAACTCCAGTTTTAGGGATCTGATGCCCTTTCTGACCTCCGCAGGCACCAAGCATCGACATGATGCACATATATACATGCAGGCAGAACACTCATCCACGTAAATGCGTACATTATGATAAAAATTCTTCAGTTCAGCCATGTGCATGTAACCAGTGCAATGCACATGCAACGCACCAGGGCCCACATAGACAGCGCTCTCTCAAGTTCTTAGCAATACTACCGTCAACAGCCTAAACACGGAAGCAGCCTGGATCTGCATGGACAGACGGATGAAAGGGAAATGTTGTTTATGCTTGAAAACAAAGGAAGTCTGTTGTTAGGGACAACATGGATGACTCTGGAGGACATCGTGCTAAGTGTAATAAATCAGTCACAGAAGACTGAGTGGATGTGACACCATTTCTGTGGGGAATCCTTGAAACAGAGGATAGGATGGTGGGCACCAGGAGCTGGGCTCAAGAAGGGTAATCAGAAGGGTGATGTCAAATAAATCAAAGTTTTGATTTTAAATCAGTTCTATGTATGTATGTATGTATGTATGTACGTACGTGTAAGCATGTAGGTGCCACCGTGAATGTGTGGAGACTAGAAAACATGCAGGAGTCTGTTCTCTCCTTGTGTCACATGGGTACGTGGGATCAAACTCAGGTTGTCAGTCAGACTTGGTGGCAAGTACCTTTACCTACTGTACCATCTCGTCAGTCCCAAAGTTTTGAATGTTTTTAAAACATTCTGAGACCTAGAGCTGTCCTGTGAGGCAGGAGTGCCTGAGCTGACAACGCTGCGCTTCCAAGTGTGCTGGGGGGGGGGAGCCCTTAGGTTGTATGTCTATCATTTGGAATTTTACTGCTTCTGTTCTGGAGAGCCCAATGAAACAGACACCAGAAGTTCAGGTGGGTCATGCATGTTTGCCGTGTCCTCCTCTGACCTTCTACTGGCATGTCCCTTTTTAGTCTCTATTTCCTTGGTTCGTGTCCACCTGTTCTACGGTGTGAACCTGGAGCTTAGGAGCACAAGCGTCACTCATCTCAGAATCCTGCCCAGAGATACTCCTCCCCCTTACCCTATTCCTGCAGGAGTCCTGAGGCACCATTGCCCTCTGGACCTCTGGCTACTCCCTGGGCTCCAAAAGCATCTCTTCCCTCCGCTGTCAGGACACTGACTTCTGTTCTTTCTGAGTGATTCTACATTCCCTGGCTCTCCCGCCTCTGCCTGTTTCTCAGTAATACCACGGGTCACATTCTCTTCTCTAAAAACTGTGGTGAGATATACAGAATATAAAGTTTGCCATTTTAGTCAGGTGGTGGTGGTGAATGCCTTTAATTCCACACTCGGGAGGCAGAGGCAGGCACTTCTCTGTGAGTTCAAGCTCAGCTCGGTCTACAGAGCTAGTTCTAGGAGAGCCAAGACTACACAGAGAAACCCTGTCTCAGAAAACAAACAAACAAACAAAAATAAAGTTTGCCATCTTAACTGTTTCTAGCACACTCCTGCTGTGCAACCCTCTCACCCTCTTCTCTAGCATGGGTTGAGCTTCACAGTGACACTCTGTCCATGAAACACCGGCTCTGCTCGCATCTCTCCTAGGTCCCACATCCTCTATTTTACCTTGGTTTTCTGATTCGTTTGTTTGAGAGGAGACTGTTGTGTAAGTTTGCAGCTGGGGATCCTCCCACCAGTCACGCTGGGATTGCAGGAATACACCGATATATTTGGCCAAGAGTGCTTTACTTTTTGTGGTGCTTGGAGTTCAAAGGCAGAGTTTTAATTACACGAGGTCAGTGCTCTGCCACCCACCCAGCTCTCGGTTCTACTTTGTAATCACACAGCACTTTGTGCTTTTGTTTCTGGATTATTTTATTTAACATAATGCCCTTGAGGTTGATGTTACAGTCAAACTGAGCTCAGAGGGACAAGCAGCTATTGCAGTTTGTCCTGCAGCTGTGCAGGGAGTTCTCTGCAGGAAAATGCCCAAGGTGCTCTCTGTGAAGTTCAGCCTCGACACTGAGTGCCTTATTCTGTTTTTGAGGCGGGTTCTCATGTAGCCCAGGATGACTTTGAACCTGCTGCCTCTATCCACCGAGTACTGGGATGACAGCCACGCACCACCACAGCTGGCATGAGTTCCCTGTCCACCCTGAACCGTTTCTGTGTTTGTGTTCAGGTTCTGTTGCTATTGCTTGCAGGTAACCCTACCTGATCTTGGGCTCAGCGTGGTTCCAAACAGACAGGGGAGATGCTCACTGATGGTCAGAAAATAGCCACATGACTTCTTCCCACCAGCTTCATGCAGATACCTTCTTCAATTCTATATGATACCTGGAGTCAAATGGAATAGTCACACCAGTCGCTGCAGTCTGACCCTCCCCAGTGGTACTTCCGGCTCATTCGTCAACTACAGAAAGTATTTCCCAGCGCTGGCTTTCGGGTTGGTTCCACTGGGCTCTGATTTGGATCAGGATGTCCCCCAGAAACCCTCATATGAAAGGCTTAGTTCTTGAGGAGCCCGGAACTGCTGGGAGAGGTTAAATCTCTAAGGGTGTGGGGGGGGGCTCTGTCCTCCTCTATTCTTCTTACCGGCTGCCATGAGGTGAGCGTCTACCTTCACCGCTCATTTCTCCATGGCCCACTCCTCTCTACGGGACTAAACCCATGGAGCCTACTGTGTTTGTACACTCAAGTGAGCCAGACCAGACCTGCCCCTTTGTATGGCAGTCATCTCAGGGGCTTGCTACAGCAATGGAAAGCCGACTCACACACCTACCTGGTATGGCAGTGGAGGCTGCAGGTGCCTGCCCTGCTGGCTTCTAGGACCTGTGTTTTTCAAACATTTTTTCATTCTGCGACCTGGCATCATCATTGCCCATCTAGAATGAAGAAGAAGATAGGTTTTCATGAAACCAGTTGTGGAAGTCTTCAATAGAAAAACGGTCTTCAAAGGGCAATAGTACCATTTGTAAGGCAGTTGGCTGAAGAGCTCCTTCTTAAAATTCATATATCTGTGCCTTGAAATTCAAAGAAAGACATGTTTGGTAAAAAACTAAGACAAAATTTATATTCTTCCTAACATTCATGAATTTGTTGGTGAGTTGTGGAATCTCCAGGTACCCCTGATAGCCAGTGTGAGGGATTCCTAACAGGAGTGAACCAGGAATGGACTTTTTCTTTCCTAGTGAAATCTGAGCAAGGAGTTCTTTCCTAACTAAATCAGTACTTTAGTTTTTGCGGTAAAGGGACATGGAACCACCACTTCAAGTCCACTCGTCAGACAGCTGTGGCGTTCGATTTATTGTTGCCAGGAGGTGTGAGTATCTATCTTGACAGCTAAAAGAACCCCAAAGCTGCCCAGGAGGTTTCCAGAGCGCTCAGGATGAAGGTAAACTAATTAAAATAAAGCCACTATGCAAATCTTAAAGGCAGGCCCATGGGGCTTCCTCCAGACCCTCTCCAGATTGTAGCTCCTGGATATTAATCTAACCTACGCTAGTTTATTAATAATATTAATA